TGCGGGCAATATCTCTTGACTTCAGGAGTTTTGAACTTTTGATCCAAGATTGACTTCTTGTGCCTTAGGGCAGCTTCTCCTCAATTTATACAAGAGTTTCCCAGGGGAGTTTGATGAATCCTATAAATTTGATATATAATATTTTCTTCCTGGCTGGAGGGTCGAAGACCTGAGGGTCCCAAGATTTAAAGACATTTTGCCAAACACGCTGTACCCCCCCTTGCTCCTCTCTTCTGCCCCCACAATGTGCTCTGTGTTGCAAGATTTAGGAATGAAATTAGTACGTAATCTGAATATTTTCTTTATATTTTTAATGTTACTTTTTGGGGAGTATTCTAATTTTTCCCTTAACTTTACTACCTTATATTTTCTTTTCTGACACTCTCACAACTTTTTCCATTCTGATAAAATGATTATTACTGTTTCATAATATTAAGAAGACCCAAGCCCTGCAAACCTGAGCAATTTCATGAGTTTCCAAATGACAAGTTACTTTATAATCTTCTCTTGGTAATTACAGAGATTTATATCTCTCTGATCATCTCTCACAAAATTTAAAGCTTATCTGTCTAGTTGACTTAGAGACTGACTTACAAGTCTCCACATTCATTATTTTGACTAAAAGCTGTTCTATTTAGTTAATGATTTAAGATTGCTATATGTTTGAGGACAGGAGAAAGTTTTAAAACTAATTTATAAAATAGAACCTACTGGTAATTTTCATATTTCATAAAATATATTTTAGCAAGTGTCCTAATATGAATTGATCACACCGAAGTCCAAAATGTACTCTTCCTGCCCTAGCAAGAGAAAACATCACTAATCTTCTTTTATGTTCAGAGTATAAATATAACTTTATGTTCAGAGTATGAATATAACTTAGCAAGTTATCAATCAAAAAGTTTAAAAAGACTAAATATTAAAAAATAGAAATATAATGTGGACTGAGTTTGTACTACAAGTCAAATTATACTAAACACAATAGATTTTTCAGCTCTTACTAGTATATAGAAAATATAAACTATCTATAGTTGTTCTGGTCACCTTTGTTAGTATCTTATAAAACTCAACTCCAAAAATAAACACATTTTATCCTCATGATTCTTTGTTGTTGTTGTTGTTGTTGTTGTTGTTGTTATGTGCCTTCGAATCACTTGTGACTCATAGCGACCCTATGTACAACAGCCCTAAACTCTATTCTATCCTGTGCCAATCACACTGCCTCCGACACACCCACACCAATTATCCCAGTCACGGAATCAATCCACCTCATAGAGGGTCTTCCTCTCCTGCGCTGTCCCTCCACCCTCCCAAGCATGACGTCCCTCTCCAAGGACCGGTCTTTCCTTAAAGATGTCCACAGTATGTTAGATGAAGCCTCAGAATCCTTGCCTCCTAGGAGCCGCCTGGTTTAACCCTCTCCAGGATGAATCTGTTTGTTTTCTTAGCATGATTCATTAAAGTATAGAATATCTAAAATTCTGCATTGCTGTGGTGTTATTGTTAATTACCTTTGAGTCGGGCACAACTCAGCAACCCTTTGAAGGCCTGAAGCCCCTCTACAACTATCGAAATTTACCAAATTTCATAGAGTTCTGGAGGCATGTTGTTTAGGAAATGGGTGCCATTCTTGCAACCCATTTATTTTGAAGTTAAGAATGTAATTCCAATATTTAAATTTGGATGATTATGGTTTAAGCAAACAAAAAGCAAGATCAACTTACGTCTAGTACAATTTTAGTGAAATAATTCTGTATTACTCTATGGTTATCATACTTTGGATTTTTATTCTGCTAAAACTTTTAATTATGTTAACAGCATTAATTGTTTAATGATTAATGGCCTAAATGTAACCATTTTATTGTTAATTGTTTAATTAATAGTAGCCCAAAGGCTGAAGTTGTAATCCATCAGCTTCTCCATGGGAGAAAAATGGGTAAATCTCCTTTGGTTTGTGTTTCACTGCTTCTGAAAACCTACTTGAGGATCAGATATGACATAGTTCTAACTTAATGGTGCACAATAGCAAGAAAGAAAACCCTAGGATAAATGTACACAATCTACTGTGTCTGGTACTACTAACCATATAAATTTCATCACTAAGTCATTTTTGTGTCACAATCTATTTATAAAAGTCAAGTTTTGGGAATTCAGAAACTTGACTATCCACAGTGAATTCATATCTACTGGAACTCTACTACATAAAAATACTAACTCTAGGGAGCTCTGGTGGCCTAGTGGCAAGAAGCTGCACTGCCATCCCAGGGGTATGCAGTTCAAAACCACCAGATAGATGCTCTGCTGGAGGAGGGGCAATCTCCTCCTGTACCAGTCAGATCCGATTTGAAGGTACACACACAAAATATAATAAAAATAAAATTTAAAAAAAAGGTTAAAAAAGTACTACCTCCCTGCCTCTTGCTCTCAGAGATACCACATGGACTAAATAATTAGCTCACAGAAGGGCTTTAGAATAGCATTGCATCTCCATTGTTCAGAGAAAAGAGAAATGACATCATGCAACAAGTTGTCATTTACAAACCACTCTTGATTAATTAAATTTCCCCTCTACTCCCAAAGCATTTGCGTTTTATCTTTTCATATAAGGAAAAGTAAATAAGACATTTTATTAAAACATTTAGTTACAACTCTTTGAGACAGAGAAGGGGGGAGGGGGAAACATCTTAAGTCAATAGAAAATAAACAGTGGCATCTACTTCCGAAAAAAGCTTGCCTCCAGAAACTACGAACTTGGAGAAATGGGAGATTATACAAGTAGTTTTTGGGTCTTTTGTTCATAGGGTTGCTATGAGTCGTCTACAACTCAACAGCACTTAACAATTACAACAACAGTCAAATTACTATATACTGTATGGTCTTTCTTTCTCAGTTTATTTAGAAAAATCAATCCATATTTAGAGCTATATACACATAGAATATCTGCTCTTCTGGAGATGCTCATTAGCAAAGTAGACTCTATAATCATCAAAGATATTTTTAAAAAAGAAAAAGTTAGGGACCTTTGCACCCAAAGACATATTAGTCTGCTTTTACGTCTTACTGGATGCTTTCTTTCCATTGTGCCCTCTCATTTCCTGCTTCCTTTGAACCCTAAATCTTTGAAATTTGTTAAGCTCATGACTAATACATCTAGTGGTCAGCCATTAACATTTTAAAATAATATTTGGAATTAAAAACATCTTTCTCTACATTCATTCCAAAGAAATTTATCTCAGAGGACTAAAGAAAGCCTCACCAAGAGCTCACTTTTTATCCACATCACCTGCATGTCGATCCACATTTTCATGTATGTCCTTTGTGGGCTCTAAGTGAGAGAAATAGTAGTTTTTTTTCCTTCGTAAGAGTCAGAAACTAAAGATGTTTCTTCATTTCCTGTGTAAGCTGCCATAATCTTTATTTTCTCTGTTTTCTTAATCAAATGCTGGTAAAATAGACCATGAAGATTCTGTTTTGTATAAACTGATATTTTTCATATTACTTAACTCTGCATTCAGTTATCCCATGGGTTATCTCCACTTTTGCCTACATTTAAAATCTCTTCCTCCATATCTATTCCATCTCTCAGTACATAAACATGTGAAAAATATTTCTTTATTTGATCCTTTTCATCTTCAGAACCAAATTTAAAAGTGTGATGTGTAAATATTGTCTCCATTTCTACTTACCAAATAGATGGTTGCAGCCAGGGCGTCCAACACAGTATTAACTTTAGCATTCAATGTGTTGTAACCCAGAAACATCTCATCTTGTTCAAACTGGGAAAGCTAATCATTCTAAATTCCACCTCTCATTTCTACTTTCCAACTTTTGGTAATTAGACTTCTACCTCTAGTTCTTTCTTTTAACTCCCATAGACACTTTTAATTTTATTTATATTTCTTTATTTATTTTTATTATGTTTAATAATTCTCTTACATTATGTTTCATAAAATCAATCACTACTGGACTATGCTTATCATCATCCAATCTGTTCAGGTCCCTGCTAGATCGTTCCCATTTCCCATAGTTCCTCTTTGTTCAGCTACTCAGCCTTTTTTGTAGCCTGTTTTGCATACTTTATAATCAATACAATCTTTCTAAAACAAAAATATGATTGAGTGGTTCTGCACATGTAACAGTCTTTAACATATATATTCTCTCTCAAACAGTATAAGACTTCAACCAGATACAGAATGATTTTTGTCCTTCACTACTTGTCAGTTTTTTAATACTAGTTTATTTACAAAATTCAAATACACTGTTTTTCACAAAAGATCCTTACCATTTCCCTTATCCCCCCATTAAATTGTTCCACCCCATGATTAATCCCCACCCAACCCCCGCACATCCTCACCCATCTGCTTCCACCCTTCCCTTCTTGGAGCCTCATAACTCATTCTACAATAATGGTTTTATACAGTATTTTTACATTCCTACTCTGATAATATTTCATTGTGGTCACACACTTTAAGGTATATATATTCTCCTTTCCTGGAATCTACCATTCTCTGTAATATCTGCTGTATCCTAATTATCCTTTAAAGTTAGTTCTCTCTGCCAGACATTTAAAGATTTTCCTGTTATCATTTCCTTTATGCCTAGTATATGTTTTCATTGTTACACATACCTCGTTGCATTAAAATAATCTGTTGTTCCTCCTTCCTTCTCTTGTTTCTGGTTACCTATCAATTATAATATCCTAATGAGTGGCATTGTGTGTTTCCTTGTATTTCTCATATCAGAGAAGTTTTTATATCAATAAATACTTAATGAATTACTATCTAATTAAACAAGAGTTATATTTATTTGTATAGCCCTCATGACTCTAAGGGAAAGTCAGTAAGGGTATACAGAAAGAATTCTTTGAGGGAATTATTACCATTTTCTTACTCGACATATTCTGGTACAGTTACAATATATTTTATCAATTCTTTAGAATAACTTAAGTTATAAACAACAACAAAAAAGATATCGAGAAAAAGATTTAGCAATTTGCTTACTGTTCTTGCATCCCAGATAGACAAGGACTTATCTGCCGAACCCGTGAGAAGAGTATTGGAGAATGGGAAAAAATCAATGGTGTTGACAGAGTCTGTATGTCCATATAAAGTATATCGGCATCTTTCACTGCACAGAAAGAGATTAAGAGTTGATGTTTTAGGAGTCACAATGTAATTGTTATGTTTTCTACATAAATGTACTAAGAGCAATCTGAGACTGAGGCATAAGATAAACATCATTTGGGGTTTTTTTAAAGAATAATTTCAAAGGAAAATCTGGAAGCTATATTGTATTCTAAATACTTTTTTTGAATTCAAACTCAAATTCATTGCTCTGCAGTCAGAACCAACTTAGCTGACCATCCATTGCGTTTCCGGGGTTGTAAGTTGTACAGCAAGAGATTGGTCATATTTTTCCAGCACAACAACTCAGAACCACTGTTGCATTCAAGTTTTCAGAGTGCTGCTTCTTTAGTAGTGCTACTCCCTACACACTAAGTCACCAAAGTTCCTTATTGAACTAGCAGCGTAAGAGCATCAAATTTATCTTCAGTGTTTATAGGGAGCTCTTATTGTCATTTTCTAAAAATACTATCATGATTTTTCCTCACAATCAAATTACGTAAAACTTGCACATATCTTTTCAAGGCAAAAACTAAGGAGAAAAAAAAATCCCACTAATCCCAAAGGCTCAGCGACCTTGTTAAAATTTCCCCTCCCTTTATATAATTTTATCAACTTTGGCTATATTTGTTATGCTTTTGGAAACCCTGATGTACATAGTGAACACACTGTGATTTTAGCAACCTCTCCAGGTGATTGTGATGAATGCTAAGGTGTGAAAGCCACTGACATGACAGTGAAAGGAAGGGAGTGTAGGCACTGCCTTTTGGCATTTTATGATATGCTTGCTTTTTTAATAAAACAGAGTATAAAGTAGCAGCATTTCTCACTTATAGTGACTGATTACTTTTGATTACCTTTATTTACAAATATTGTTGAAAAATAAAGTAGTAGAAGCATGGTAACTGGTAAATGTTGAGAACAAAAGGGTCAACGTAAATACACAAACAATTTTATAGAAGTCCCTGGACAGTGTTCAGATGCTATCTGAGTGGGTGGAGTTCACCCAGGGATGCTTTGAAAAAGAGACAGGGTAATATGCTTCCAGCCACTGTCAGCCACTGTCACCTTTACAGAGCACAGTTCTATTCCAACACACTTGGAGTCACCATGAGTCAGAATTGATTCCACCGCAATTGCTTTTTAGTTCCAATCTGGTGACTAGTTAATCAGTCTCTTAGAAGTGTTTCTCACCTTTTTGAGACCTGTAAAATGTGATGGAATGGCATAGCAAGAAAATTACAATGAGAGCCAGAAATTGGTTTCCAACTCTAATGTTGACAAGAAACAAACACGGCAACAGACAAGTTGTTTAATTTCTGTGTTAACCAGTTTCCTTCGTGTGTTGCTTTTATTATTGTATACTGTTGGAGTTGACCTACAACTGACTCTCCCAACAAGTTTTCAGAGGCAGTAGATGGGAGGAGACTGCTCATCTTTCTCAAGCACAACAGTTGGTGTATTTGAAACATACACCTTTGGATTGACAGCACAATCTCTTAGCATCAAGTCAATCGAGCTCCCTCTCTTGTGTGAATAAGATAACCTAATTTTGGAAACAAAGAGATATTGTGCAGCTCCAATATTTTAAGTTCTTTGACCTAAGTTATGAATGTAAAAGTGAAAGGGAAAAGTTATACTGAAACAGTTAGAAGAAGAACTGGGAATAAAATCTCTTCCTTACTACTTAAATATAATAAATTTGGCATTTTGAAAGAGACAATATAGAAAAACAACATTTTAAAAGGGTAAAATCAATAGTAAGCAAAAATAACTAAGCAATGAAGATAAAATATACTTTCAATATTAATAAAATCGGAGACTATTTATCACTAGCCATTATTCACTACAAGAAATATTGAAAAACAGTTATGTTGGATGAGCAGCAATAACATCAGATAAAAAGAAAAGTAACAAAAAAGAAGAAAATATGTAATTACAAATCTATAAACGTATTTAAATAGGTTTTTCTTATTTTTTTAAAAGACATTTGACTACTTAAAGTAAAATTAGTAATGTTGCATTGCTTCAGCAAGATGAAACAGCACCTGACAGCAGCAAGAAGATTAAGCCTTGGAGAGACTGTGAGGATCGTGCAGGCCAGGGTAAGATTTTGATCTGTTATTTTTGGGTCACTATGACTCATAATTTAATCATATCTGACAACAATAATGAAGGTTAGAACTCTGGAAACCCAATGAGATTGTTCTACCCTTTCCTGTACGATCATTATGAGAATACCAGAAAGATGTTTACTTGTTACTATGCAAAAGCATTTAATTGCAGGGATCATAAAATTATGGATAACATTGAGAAAAAGAATGAGAAGAACACATAATTGTGTGTATCTGAAACCTGTACATGAATCAAGAAGTGGTTTAAAATCATCAAAGTTATATGTCCAGGGTTATAGCCTAGTGGTAAGAAGCTTTGCTACAATCCTGAAGGCATACGGTTTGAATTCGCCAGCTGCTTCATGGGAGAAGGATGGGCAATCTACTCCTGTGCAATGTACTGCCTCTGAAAACATGCTGGAGAATCAACTATGAGTCAGATTTAACTTAACAGTATACAACAACGGCAGCATGTTTATTTCGTCTACCTGAAAAGCAAGTATTTGTGAATCTAGGCTATATGAAAAATAATGTGGCATCAGAATTGGAAGAAGATGCATTAACAACCCATAGCGTGTAGATGACTACAATCTTGCCTGTTGGAAGCAAAAAGAACTTGTGACATTTACTCAAAAAAATCATAGACTATATCTTTCAGTATGGATTTCACCTCAATATCATTCTTTGCCACACTGTTGTGGAGTTAGAACTGACTCATAGTTGGCCTTCCAGTGGGTTTTAAGAGGCTATAAATCACATGAGAGGAGACTGCCTGTCTTTTGAACATGGGTTTGCTGGTGAATTTGAACTACAAGAGAGAGATCAGTATTTTTGGTGTGTGTGACTTAGTGTCTCTGTTTATATATTATCTTAGGTTATAAATCTTCACAACAAGAGATTTCCTATCTTCCTCCTGTATAGCAGCTTGAAGATTCAAACCACTGAGCCTTTGATTAATAGTACAATATAAAACACATCACAACACCAGCACTCATTTACAGTAATCTAATTCAGATTAAATGCAGTAGTCTGCATAGGTGGATACAGAGTTCTTAATATGTTTATATTGTCATTTAGATATTTTTTGCTTTTACTAGTCATGTGTTGCATAATTTATGGAATAACTTCTATTTTAATAATGAAAACAGTAAAATGGAGAAAAAAACATAGAAACTAAGCCACAAAAGATTGAACTAAAATTGTGACAGAAGTAATTGTTAGAGAAATAACTGCTGTTGTTGTTGTTATGTGACGTCGAGTCGTTTGCGACTCATAGTGACTCTATGTACAACAGCCCTAAACCCTGCTCTATCCTGTGCCAATCGCATCGCCTCTGACACACCCATCCCGATTACCCCAGTCACTGAATTAATCCATCTCATAGAGGGTCTTTCCCTCCTGCGCTGTCCCTCCACCATACCAAGCATGATGTCACTCTCCAAGGACCTATCTCTCTTTACAACATGTCCAAAGTATGTCAGATGATGCCCCAGAATCCTTGCCTCCAAGGAGTAGCCTGGTTTAACCTTCTCCAGGGTGAATCTGTTTGTTTTCTTAGCAGTCCATGGTGCATTCAATACTCTTCTCCAGCACCACAGCTCAAAGGCATCATTAATTCTCCTTCTATCCTCCCTAGTCATTGTCCAACTCTCTGATGCATAACAAGTGATTGCAAAGACCATGGCCTGTATCAGGTGCACCTTAGTCTCCAGAGAGACATCGTTGTATTTGAGTACTTTAGAGAGGTCCCTACCAGCAGATTTCCCAGCGCAATATGTTTTTTTATTTCCTGGCTGTTGGTGCCAAGAGTGTTGACTGTGGAGCTGAGCAAACTGAAGCTGTGAACAATCTCAATTTCTTCGCCATCCATCCTAAGAGAAATATCTGAGAGAAAATAAAAATGGAGAAACAAAAGACCAAGTATGATCTGTGAAAAGTGACAGCTAATTAATGTTGATTGCCTCTAATCCCCAATAAGCTTTCACTGAAATGTATTTCGACTAATAAAGCATAATATCAGACTGCAGTTTGAAACTACTTGCCATTTTGGGGGAAGAAGATGGGCAGTTCCTCTCTTTGCCTTTTATAGCCTCAGAAATCCAAAGGAGAACCCTTATGAGTAGGAACTGACTAAATGACTGGGGTTTGGAATTATTTACCTGTGGTGCTGGAGAATAGGTTTAATATACCATGGACTGCTAGGAGAACAAACAGGTTTGTCCTGAAGATGGTGAAACCAGGCTGCTTCTTTGAGGCAAGGATTCTGAAGCTTCATCTAACATATTTTGGGCATGTTGCAGGGAGAGACCATCCCTTGGAGAGGAATACCATGTTTGGGAGAATGGACGGATAGTGCAAGAAAGGAAGACCCTCAATGAGATGGATTGAATCAGTGATTGGAGTAATGGGAGTATGTGTGTCAGAGACTGTAGGGCTCTTGTAGCTATGAGTTGCAAGTGACTCGATGGCACATAACAACAAACAATGGAACCCTGATAGTGTGTAATATGTTAGGCTGCTAAAGATTGATTGACTGTTCAAATCTACCAATAACTCCATGGAATAAGGAAGGGCAGACTCTTTCCATAAAAATTACATCCTCAGAAACTCACTGGAAGTTTGCCACCAGTCAAAATCAACTGGACACATAGTAGGTATTTGTAACTAGCTCATTTGTGATAACTTTATAAAAGATTGGATATATTAAATGGAAATAAAAAAGAAGAGGATTTTATTGTTTTTCTTATTTTGAGACAAACAAAAATTTGTCATTAAACTTTAATGTCTTATCTGTAAGAATTTTAAATAAATACAACAAAATGACAAACAAGAGTATATCTATTTTCTCATGATGATAACCTAATAGATACTCTGGGTGTTTAAAGTTTGT